TAATTTTACTAATGTTAAGCATCTGGTCAAGCCCAGTTAGGATCTTCCTTTTTTACTTATGTATTTGTATAGCTTAAAGCAAGGAAGCTATACAAGAGCTCTGTTACACAGTCATCTTTCTCTGTTATTTGTGTTTTTACAAGGAATAGTTAGCTAAATTATACCTGATTGCAAATAGCATCTGTTTGATGTTGAAGCTCCATATTCTTTCTTCAGTCTTGAAATTTTCTCTTATTACAACTAATTTGGAATTAGGAGTCTGGAGAGGAAGAGGAGGGGGAAATCTTGCCACTGATTTCCTATAATGAAGCAGTCTATTAACATTCTCCAAAAATTATCATTAATTAAACAAAAAGCTCATCTAACGCTAGGAACAGGAATATTTCTGTACCAGCAAAAAAGCACCGAGTGGGAAATATCATTATGATTCCACTTTATAAAGTCTGTCTCCTCTGCCAGGCTCTAACCCGTGCAGAAGTGAGGGAGCAAGCGAGCTGTGCGTTTGGGTTGTGGATTAATAGTTGAAGTTCACTCGTGTGGAAATGAAGCAGATTTTACTGTGACTAGAATCTGTCATTAAAAAGCCATTATCGGAACCAACCGGCACAATTCCTGCTCTTTCATTGCTAATGACAAAACAATCTGTTCTTTAAAAAACAACAACCCTATATTTTCTTTCAGAGAATGGTGCAGGAGACTTACCAGAACAGAAGCCGGGTGAAGAGAGGCAGTTGAAAGATTTATTGATCAATAAACCAGACAATTACAGCTTGTTTATAAAAGGGAAAAAAACCACCCCCGACCACCCAGACCTCGGGCCTGGAAGCAACACTGAGACTCTAATAATAACAACTCTGGCATCCAGCTTGAAACGATAAAAGTCAATAGGAAGATATAGGATTTCAATAAAATTATGACACTAGATAAACTTTACCCCAGGAACAAATTTTCCCTGGGTGTGTGACTGACTTCAGTTAGATTTGTAACTTTAATTTCTTTCTTATTGATTTTTCTTTTCTTCAACTAATTACAGAGTCTGTGGTGAATCGTGTGTATGTATGTTTGAGGAGGGGCTAATGAGCATCAGCAGGAGCAGGATCTCGGCTTACATGTATGTGTATGAGGTCAGATGGCTTTTTTAATTATCTGGGCTATATCTCACTCTTCAGTTGCTTCTGATGCACAGCTGGGAGTCACTTTTATACTCCTCAGTATGCATGTATTTGAAGCCACCGGCTGCCCTTGGAGATGCGCAGTAGCACTGCTTCCATGACGTGAGGGATGATGATGCTGGTGCTTATGTGAGCGGTTCTCAGGTCTTTCCCT